TCACTGTCGGACACTGCAATATGAAAACCTGCACGCCTCAGCGTCGGACACTGCAATATGAATAACTGCACGCCTCACTGTCGGCACTGCAATAGGAATAACTGCACGCCTCTCTGTCGGCACTGCAATATGAAAACCTGCACGCCTCACTGTCGGCACTGCAATATAAAAACCTGCACGCCTCACCGTCGGACACTGCAATACGAATAACTGCACGCCTCACTGTCGGACTCGCAATATGAATAACTGCACGCCTCACTGTCGGCACTGCAACTTGAATAACTGCATGCCTCACTGTCGGACACTGCAATATGAAAACCTGCACGCCTCACTGTCGGTTCGCAATATGAATAACTGCACGCCTCACTGTCGGACACTGCAATATGAATAACTGCACGCCTCAGCGTCGGACACTGCAATATGAAGAACTGCACGCCTCACTGTCGGACACTGCAATATGAAAACCTGCACGCCTCAGCGTCGGACACTGCAATATGAATAACTGCACGCCTCACTGTCGGCACTGCAATATGAATAACTGCACGCCTCACTGTCGGCACTGCAATATGAAAACCTGCACGCCTCAGCGTCGGACACTGCAATACGAATAACTGCACGCCTCACTGTCGGACACTGCAATATGAATAACTGCACGCCTCACTGTCGGACTAGCAATATGAATAACTGCACGCCTCACTGTCGGACACTGCAATACGAATAACTGCACGCCTCACTGTCGGACACTGCAATATGAATAACTGCACGCCTCACTGTCGGACTAGCAATATGAATAACTGCATGCCTCACTGTCGGACACTGCAATATGAATAACTGCACGCCTCACTGTCGGACTAGCAATATGAATAACTGCACGCCTCACTGTCGGACACTGCAATATGAAAACCTGCACGCCTCACTGTCGGCACTGCAATATGAATAACTGCACGCCTCACTGTCGGCACTACAATATGAAAACCTGCACGCCTCAGCGTCGGACACTGCAATATGAATAACTGCACGCCTCACTGTTGGACACTGCAATATGAATAACTGCACGCCTCACTGTCGGCACTGCAATATGAAAACCTGCACGCCTCAGCGTCGGACACTGCAATATGAATAACTGCACGCCTCAGCGTCGGACACTGCAATATGAATAACTGCACGCCTCACTGTCGGACACTGCAATATGAAAACCCGCACGCCTCACTGTCGGACTCGCAATATGAATAACTGCACGCCTCACTGTCGGCACTGCAATATGAATAACTGCACGCCTCACTGTCGGACTCGCAATATGAATAACTGCACGCCTCACTGTCGGACACTGCAATATGAAAACCCGCACGCCTCACTGTCGGACTCGCAATATGAATAACTGCACGCCTCACTGTCGGCACTGCAATATGAAAACCTGCACGCCTCAGCGTCGGACACTGCAATATGAATAACTGCACGCCTCACTGTCGCACTGCAATATGAAAGCTGCACGCCTCACTGTCGGCACTGCAATATTAATAACTGCAAGCCTCACTGTCGCACTGCAATATGAAAGCTGCACGCCTCACTGTTGAGACATTGCATTGCAAATAACCCGAAACATTACTGTCGTACAGTGCAATAAGACTGAATTCATGCTTTTCATGAAGTGAACATAGATACGTAACTGCATGCTTTTCTGTATGCTTTAGTATCGGGCACTGCAATATGAATGTCGGCACGCCTTAATGTCGAACATTGCAATACGTATGTCACCATACCTAAATGTCGGACCATGCAATAAGAATACCAACATGTGTTTTAATGTCCGGCCATGCAATATGAATGCAGTGGATATTGTACCGTTTGTCAATATAGTGTACGTGTGTAACTTGGTACTGTCCTGTCGGTCCATTCACAGACACTTCGTATCAGTTACAACCATGAGTTGCAATATGATTATCCAACAAAGCATCTTCAATAGCTGACTGTTCAAACATGGGCATATTTAATCAATCACAGAAAGCTTTAGAAGTCGATCTTGACGCAAAATCAATAACAGCAATCCTGTTTGATTTTCTGTCTGAATTTGTAAACCTCGGTATTGGCACATCCATATTCACCATTCCGAGCGTCAAGACACCGAGGACAGAGAGCACTCTATCTGAATAACATTGCATACGTGTGAAGCTAATCAAGCCGTATGATCACTTCTATAGCCTGGCTACTGTCACCCTTGAACGTCCCCATCTAGGCATAACGCTGAATATGACTCATTTCATACTCCAAAAACAGATGGGGTCAGTGCCCCATACGTTCCGATCCCGATCCCTGAGAATTGAAACAGTTCTGTTTCCTGCACATGTCAGCAAGGATACTCATCCTGGACAATACTGTTCCCATTCCTACAACAACAACCGCACCTACTGCCACTGCCCCTACAACTACCACCACCACAAAGGCCATTCAACAAAAACATCATTTTGACGTATCCCAAAGACTATCGGGTTTCACTGTACTACTACTACTACTACTACTACTACTACTACTACACTATTCTCACTCGGGTGGTCAGGCTCACAATATCAATCACTGGATTGTCTGGTTGAGACACGAATATTTACAGGCCGCCGTCGCATATCAAGAATATTGCCGTGTGCGGTGTTAAATAACAAACTACCACTACTACCACTACTACTACTACTACTACTACTACTACTGAAGTACTACTACTACTACTACTACTACTACTACTACAATTACTACAACTGAAGATCCGGGGTAGAATAGGTCTTTAGAAACCCATGCTTACCGTAAGAGGCGACAAAGGGGATCGGGTGGTCAGGCTCGCTCACTTGGTTGATGCATGTCATTGTATCCCAATTGCGTGGATCGATGCTCATGATGTCAAACACTGGATTGTCTGGTCCAGACTCGATTATTTAAAGACCGAACTACTTCTACTACTACTGCCAAGCTCGATATGGTTTTACCTAATTACAAGAACCACTTAACAAACAATATTAAATGAATCAAACCTTTAAAACATTCAAACAAATGCTAATTGTACCAATTTCTTTTATTTGCTAAACGAAATATGTCCTACATACATATGCTTACCTAAAAAATAAACTAAGGAAAATTGGTCCAACTATTAACGAAATTATTTTATTTATTATGTCATTGTCATTAATTATCATTAATCATCACTAGTACCACCACGATAATTGTGTCATTATTATTGCGTATATGACAGCTACATGTGTCATCTGTCTAGATATTATTGCTCCCACAAACGTCGTTTTACCCAGAGGTGGGTTGGTTGGGGTCAAAGCGCAGTACAGTGTCGTGTAACGCACCAAGAGTCTGCTTATCTCGTGTTTGAATCCCAAGTAACGATCAGTTTTTCACGTCCATATGTTTCACCAAAGTGATCGCCTACGACCTATGTAACTGTGTGCCTTACTCCCATACCTAGCTGATCTCACTGATATAAGTACAAAAAGCGGCACCCACTCACTCACTCGAAATACACCTCTCTTGGTCTACATAATTCCAGAATTAGAAATCACCTTTAGGCCGTTAATCACTCATCTCAGCCACCATCACACATGGAAGTTCAGGCAAAGTGGTTCATAAAAATGTCATCCAATGGTTGCTTTGATCGTCGGAAATCAGCGGCGGGTCCCGCTGCAACACCTGGGCTGCGTTACATATATAGACGGTGTTCTAGTCGATAACATGAGGCAATTAGTAGGAGCGTTAGGGCGTGGGTAGTGTGGTTATGACTGCTGAAGTGTACTAGGAGAGCATAATTGCTGTGAGGCAGTGCTGAAAAGGTTGTCATGTGTATATGTTGGTGTTTAATGGTAGAGTTGTCTCCTTAAACTGGGCGAGTGCTGCCTAAGTGACACAGCTCTCACGTGTATGATAAACTTGTCCAACACATCATTAACAACATGCACTCAGTGGTGTTTTTGTGATCCCTATTTCAAACGGCCGTCTGAACAAACAGTCTGCAGTAGGCGGCAGACAGTGTGAAACGACTAGAAACAGACAGCACACAGTCTGAATCTATCCTGGTACAGACAACAGATCTTCTGAATCATGACTGTAACAGACATCAGACAGTATGAACAGAAACACGAAACAATCAGAAAGTATGAACCTAAACTGGAATCAGACATCAGACAATTTGAATCTAGACAGGAAACAGACATCAGACAGTCTGAATCTAGACTTGAAACAGACATCAGACAGTCTGAATCTAAAATGGACACCCCTTTAACCACCGGAACAAATGACTGCGCAAGGCCCTAATGGCGGCCACTAGTATATGTGCAGTGTTCCGTGTAACACAATGTCATAATCCAACCAAATAGGTTCGTACAATCACAAACATCGGAAAATAACATGAAAGAGAACGCCCCGATTTGCATTCTAAAGACCATTTCGCTCGTTATGCAGATCTTCTTGCTCGGGAAGCAACAGGTTGTAACTGATAGGACGTGATCCATCTTGTGTACCTAGCGGACACAGTGTTTTCATGACAATGACAAATGGCAGGGATCTGTGTTTATTATCAAAGACAGATAACTAAGATACATTTTCAGCCCATAAAGACTAATTACGAACATTCCGTAGATTTGTATTGTAGCATTTGTCATCCCAACCAAACACACAGGACATAACCAGATGGTATTCTTGTATTCCAATTATTCTCCGTTAACTGGACCCTGTCAATTTGTTTGCGAATCTCTAGTCATGCTCAGAATATCGTCGTCAGTAACTCCGTCTGCGGGCTCCCAACTAGGTATTTATCGTCATTTATTCGTGGCGTAATACCCAGATACGAGGAAGAAAATCAAGTACTAAGGTCAATGTTTCGCACGCACTGACGCGGTAATATACACGTATATGTTTAATTACCATGAATCTGCCTCTAGTTGATTCATGCAGCATGGCGTTAAATGTCCTGTATGAGGACAAGTATAAATGGAAGGATGGCATGGAGTACTTACCTATTGACACGTACCACCTGTTGAACTGATATACGTGTAGTTTTCTTCAGTGTCTTAGAATCACACCCATGTTTCCAATGTAGTTACTTCGTAGCTCTTGAGGGAGAATCAGCTTGCCTGACCGGTCAATCACATTGATCTATCGATCTCTCAGACGTAGCAACAGCGTGCTCGGAATCACTGGCAGAGTGTTCTACTGGTGATTGTTGCGGATATAAGACAGTTTGCGTCACTGCAGTTGCTGCCGCTAGCCGTGCAGACGACACTAAGGCTTGAAGAACACAGGATAAACAGGCGTTGGTGGTTAACGGTGAAGAGATAAAACAGTCTCAAAGGGAGGTAACTGGCGTTGAGATTTCACTAACGGGGACTTCCCGGCTGTTGACGATTCTCCTTTTCTTCGCCACAGAGAAACCACCTCGCCTGATCAATAAACGCACGGCTCACGTGCAAATATTACCGACACCATTTTGTTAGTTGAGGCCAGTTGCTGTTAGCCCCTGTTATTAGTCTGTTCTCGCAAACACGACTCACTTCAAGGTTGGACCAAGGTGTACTGTGTTTATTCCAGAAGGAACTGACGACGTATCGCCACCGGGACGCCCCTCTCATCCTCTCCCCCCTCCCACCTGCAACCCTAACACACCGCCCTACCGCTTTCGTCACTTAATGGAGAATTTGTTCAGGTGTGATTCGTCAATGAAGTATACAATACGATACCACGGCATTTTTCACCGTGTATCTATATACTTCGTTTCAGAATGCACTTTTTCATTTTAAAGTAACCTGAAAATTAATCATTTGAAGGTAAACAACATTGATTGATTTTCTACGTGTCAACCACGTATGGCCTGATTGTGTGGTTGTCTGCAAGGGCATTGCTACTTGCACTATTGAAGGCGTGTCAGCTACTTAGCGGTGTAAAGCTATGACGTGTCCTATTAAGTTATATCTGGGACATTTACTCACTGTAAGAAGTTTAATAACTCATTTGACACACATTTCCTAGGGGATGTGTGTGACACTATACACAGCGTGAGTCAGACCCAGCCGAGCGTACTTGGCGAACTATAAGGTCAAACAACATGACGAGACATTATTTTGCATAAGTGAGCCTGTAAACAATCTAAACGCCTCGTATATAGTAACACCTGCCGTTCAGCCAGAAATGTTAACAGTCTTGTAAGCCTTGACAGTAAATAGACAAACTTTTATATATTTGGGGATGCGAGGTTGATTTTTGTTTGCTTGTTTGTTGTTTTGTTGTTTTGTATTTATTTATTTATTTATAAAAAAGATTCACCGCGGTCGTCAATACACGCTATCGGGGTATAATACACCGACATACACAAACTGTAAATTATCCAATAACACTGGTAGATGACGCTGTCGTTCATGGCAAACTTGAGATAATTAAAATTAATCTGTAATGTCGTGTTACATATGTAACCTTAAAACATAGCAGTCTAATAATACACGTTTGGTCGATGATCTCTATTCCTTAAAAAGTAAAGCAAACTTATTTTTTGGCCCCACAACGTGTGTATAATGTTTTCTTTTCATCAAACCACAGAGTGTTTTTATTTGATTTGTTGTTCTGTTTAAATGGGACAGCCATTAGGCCCACATGACGTATCCGCAAGTCGCTGTCTCTACGGGCGCATTTAGGGCACGGTGGATAAAAAAACATGTCAATAAAAACGAGTGATACGAAACAGTTAAGATTTGTGTTGCTCTAGGACGTCAGGTCGCCTGGCAATTCACGGTATCCCAGAGGCGACAAGGCCAGGCCTTCAACACAGCACCGCAACCATTAATAAACTATACTTAATGAATAATGAATACCCTTTCCCAATACCATACACTAACCTTATCCTGAATAAATATAATTCAAGCCTCGGCATTGATATCAGATTTAAAAGAGTTGATTCATTTCACGTCATATACCTGTCTGTAATGTTTGTTTGTTTGTTTGTTGTTTAACGCTGCACTCCAGCTATATGACGGCGGTCTGAAAATAATCGAGCCTGGACCAGACAATCCAGTGACTGATGTCATGAGCATCGATCCACGCAATTGGGACACGATGACATGCATCAACCAAGTCAGCGAGCCTGACATTTCATATGTGATGTTGCATCACAACACAACTAGGACAGAGACCTAGGTAAGCCGATTATCACTCATATTACAGTAACCTACAACGCCCCAGGTCAGAATCACTTCCTGGTCCACGCAGCGTTTGCACTGGAGGGAAGGGAGCCAACTACGGGTGACTCATCAAACGACAGTGTGAACTATACATAGGCACATCTGTGAACAAGCCTTGCACCCATAAATTTAGATACACAATTCCAATTTGTGTGTCGTTATATCAATTATTGCGATAAATTCGTTTAAAACTTAATTTGGGGAACATTTATACAGATTCAAAGTACTAATACTTGCTCTCAATAACAGAGCCTAATTCAAATAGGTGATCTCAGCGCTACGATTGTCGTACCTCTATGTTAAAGTATGGAAGTTGCGATGGTATTCGCGCTACGCTCACTTTGTGGAACGGGGCCCTGAAGAGTAAACCTGGAGAAGCCTAGGTACATACAACGTTTAAACAGTCTATAGATACGAACACATAGGTGCAAGCGACTTCAGGACTTTAACAACAAATTGATATATAGGTACATACGACTTCAGAACAGAAACAACATATTGATACATAGGTACATACGTCTTCAAAAGAGTAACAACATATGACACATAGGTACAAACGACTTCAGACCTCTAACAACATATTGATACATAGGTACATACGACTTCAGAACAGAAACATCATATGATACATAAGTACATACGTCTCCATAACAGAAACAACATATGATAGATAGGTACAAACGACTTCAGATCAGAAACAACATATGACACATAGGTACATACGACGTCAGAACAGAAACCACATATGATGAATAGAAACATACGTCTTCATAAGAGAAACAACATATGATAGATAGGTACAAACGACTTCAGATCAGAAACAACATATGACACATAGGTACATACGACTTCAGAGCTGGCGGTCTGTAAATAATCGAGTCTGAACCAGACAATTCAGTCATTGACATCGTAAGTATCGATCCACGCAATTGGAATACGATGACATACATCAACCAAGTCAGCGAGCCTGACCACCCGATCTCATTAGTCGCCTCTTACGACAAGCATAGTCGCCTTTTGCGGCAAACATGGGTTGCTGAAGACCTATTCTACCCCTGATCTTCTCGAGTCAGTGGTAGATGTGTGAGATAGTAGAAGTTGCATGTGTAACCCCGTGCAAAACAACATTGTACGTTAAAGAACGGATGGTAAACCTTGCTACAGTGAATCAGAGTGACTGTTATTTTTCGCCCCTTTTCATAAGATTCCAATCACATGGCGAGAGACACATTATGTCCATGTGGGGAATCACTTACGAGCGTTCGGCTGATAAACTAACGCTTTAACCACTAGGCTACCCACCACCCTTTACCACCACAGTCGCTGTATATGCTCTTTTTGAAACATACCTATCAGCCTTAGTTTGATTTCCAGGCGTTAAGCGGTAGATATTTAGGCGAAAATAATTCAGCGCGTGCATAATCCAGTCGCTTATAGCAAAAGCGCAGATAAGAGTGTTCCTTCAAGCCTTGATACAGTTCACCAAACTTTCTATACGCCATCATTTAATCTTGAATATCAAGCTTGTTTTGCAAAATACTGTCTTTTTAACTAATATACAGAAATACAGCTTTCTAATGGCAAATAAAACATGTGTTTCAACATTGCCAAAACGCTCCATCATAATGCCAACCGTCGAGCATTAATCTATTATTGATGGAAATGTATAGCGCCTTATAGATTTCATGCATATTTCAAACAGATATTTTTACTTTCATGTGAAGAAAGGTATTGTTTCATTCTGTATATACTGGTCCCTGGCGGTATACATTTGTATGTTTTAAACTGTTTATCAAAGAGCTGTACCTAAGGTTAGACTTAAATAAACTATCTGTCTGTTTGTCTGCCAAAATTACAGATTAAAACAACAAAATGGTCCAATGAAATCCAGGGTAGAATTGGTCTGCAGCAACCAATGCAACCCAGGATAGCAAGCGCCAGGTGCTGAGATCGTATACGGCTCGTGACCAGGTTGTTATTCAGCCTTGGGACCAACTATGTTTACAGGTCTTTACAGTGTTGTCAGTACCCCTAGTGTACAGTACATACACCATGTACACTCAAAAGAGTGAGTGAGTGAGTTAGTTGTGTTTAACGCCGCTTTTAACAGTATTCCAGTCATATCACGGCGTGTCAGCTTCATGTGGGAGGAAAGGCCCAAGTGATGCAGGTCTTAGACGTTTACCACTTCGGTGAAACCCACGAGCACGGGTATGGTGCTGACAAACCTAGAAACATAATCGGGGCGAACCGGGATTCGAACCCACAATCATAGGTTTCTGGCGTGCCCAAGGGACGCAACTCTGCACAGCGAATTGCGGCGCCTTAGACGACTGGGCCACCCTGTACACTCAAAAGAACCCAGTCGTCCGATGGTGGAAACACGAATACGTGTATATCACCCGAAACACTAGTGTCATAACTTGTGGTGACTTAGTTCAAATGTGTCTCTGTTCACCGAGCATGGAATGGGTGACCGATATGTGAGGTGGATGGTAAAACCCTTTAGCGCCCCTAGGCAGCTTGGGTTGTATACTCCCCAGGGAGTTGAGAATGATAAAACTGGAATGCAAACGGATCCACTGGTCGGGGAACAAATAAAATCGCATTTGAGCAGATACCGGGATACCTGTGTTATATAAATGTATATTGCATAAGAAAAAGAGGTAACTAACTGGATCGGGTGGTCAGGCTTGCATTGCGAAGATCGATGTTCATGACGTCAGTCGTGTCCCTTAGTCACGCCAGAAACCTATGATTGTGGGTTCGAATCCAGGTTCGTCCCGATTATGTTTCAAGGTTTGTCAGCACCATACCCGTGCTCGTGGGTTTCACCGAAATGGTAAACGTCTGAGACCTGCATCACTTGGGGCTTTCCTCCCACATTAAGCTGACACGACGTGATATAACTGGAATACTGTTTTAAGCGGCGTTAAACCCAACTCACTCACTCATGATGACAGTCACTTGGTTGTTTGTGTTTTGCGCCTCACAAGTCGTGTCCCTGTATGTCAATTTACAAGTATGTGTCATGGTGATGTTTACACGTCCATTTTACTGTCACATAGGTCGTGTCCCTGTATGTCAATTTACAAGTATGTGTCATGGTGATGTTTACACGTCCATTTTACTGTCACATAGGTCGTGTGCCTGTATGTCAATTTACAAGTATGTGTCATGGTGATGTTTACACGTCCATTTTACTGTCACATAGGTCGTGTGCCTGTATGACAATTTACAAGTATGGTGATGTTTACACGTCCATTTTACTTTCTCATAGGTCGTGTGCCTGTATGACAATTTACAAGTATGGTGATGTTTACACGTCCATTTTACTTTCTCATAGGTCGTGTGCCTGTATGACAATTTACAAGTATGGTGATGTTTACACGTCCATTTTACTT